TAAGCGTCTAATGACTTTTTTTCTTTTTCTTTCAGATTTAACAACTTAAGTCTGGAAATTTCAACCATGGATTGTTTGGTTTGGTTTGGGTTGTTTTACGGCATATCAACCTCAATGTGTTATTTAATGCCGACAAAATTTTCATTGTTGGTAATATTTTTTTTCCAAAAATCTATTTTTGGTAATATTTTTTTTCTTCAAAAATCTATTTCTGGTAAGAATTTTCCTTCGCTGGTAATTTTCTTTTGTCACAAAAATCCATTTCTGCTAATATTTTTTTCTTCAAAAATCTATTTCTGATAAGAATTTTCCTTCGCTGGTAAATTTTTTTTCCAAAAATGTATCGCTGGTAATATTTGTTTTCCAAAAATGTATTGCTGGTAATAATTTTTGTTTTTTTACAAAGTATTTCTGGTATTAAACCTTATTTTTACACTTTCATAGAGTTTTGACCCGAGTTTGGATGTTAACTACTTGCCCATAGCTGGGACCCTAACAGGTGCGACCACCCCGGGTCAGGGTGGACCTGGAAACATCAACAATTAAGTGGCGGTTTCATGCTCCTCAAACCCTCCAGATCAGAGGCCTCGCTGTTGGACGTAGTTTATCGTCTTACCCAGAACTCGGATGTAGTTTATCGTCATACCCAGGACGGTCAACCATGGAAAGATTAACAATCAAACAATGTTAAATTTATAGAAGCCTATTACGAAAATGGACGTCCAAACAGAATTTGAATGAGAATTTCCCAGGCTGCATTATCTCTCGAAACAGCGAAGTCAATTGGCAACCACGACCGTACGACTTGACGCCTTTAGATTTGGAGTCATCTCAAAATTAAGGTCTATACCAACAAAAATTCAATAGCTGAAGGATGAGATAATAAGGCATATTAGTGAGATCGAGGAGCAACTATGCAGAGACGTCATCAAAAATTTTGACCATCGAGTGTGGGTGTGCCGCCGAAGCCTTGGCGGACATTTGGGCGATATTATTTTTCACACATAATTGCCATGACTTAAATAACATGATTCAATAGGGAAATAAATAAATTTTCACCAACAACACTGAATTATTTACTGCTGACTTTGATCCATCTTAATGAAACACCCTTATTTATAATCCGTCTTAATGAAACACCCTTTATCAGAGAAGCTGTTTGTTTCTAGGGAGAGAAAGGAAGCATACATATCAATAACAAAGCTCACTAGATCAATTACGACTGAATAGTGAGTTTGCTCCTCACTGGTTGCCTAATACTTCGGGCGTTGGGCCACATCTAAGCTAAGCTTAGAACGTGGTGTAATGGTTAGCCAATTTGTCTCGCTAGAATAATGCGATTGAGTAAGTTCGAACCTCACTGGGAGCTCTATAATCTCGGCCTCGTGCCACTATTAGAAAATCGCAATATCTATAAGAAAGAAAGCAGGTAAGAAAAGGGGGATACAATAATGCTTTAATGCATTTAACTTATCCTTCAGAGAAACTTTAAACTTCGACAAACTTTAACTTTTATATCCGCAAAAAGACGGTCTATCTAAAAGTCATTTTTTCCCTTGACACCAATATTATTTTGTACTAACTGCACTCCCTCGGAAATGTTTTATTACAAGTTTATGAAAATCTGTGCACCAAGATATTTACATTGTATGAAGAATTATTATTTATCACGTTATAAAGAAATAAATGTGGAAAGAAACCATTTTTATTCAGTTTTTTTTAATTATCAAAATATGTAAATCTTACTTATTATAAAACGCAGATTGTGTGTGTGTGTGTGTGTGTGTGTGTGTGTGTGTGTGTGTGTCTGTACGTTTATATATTGGATCGGATTTCCTACACTTTTCAACAAAACTTCACAGGACTACGTAAAATTACCTTGCGGTGGTTCTTTTGTTTTTGCACGAAATCAATTTGAAAACACGATTAAGAGGCATTAATGAAAGGGGGACAACTCATATCGAGTTATACTTATTAATATCGAGTTATCGATTTATACTTATTATAAAACCCAGGTTGTTTGTTTGTTTGTTTGTTTGTGTCTCTGTGTGTGTGTGTGTGTGTGTTTGTGTGTGTGTGTGTGTGTGTGTGTGTCCGTTTATATATGGGATCGGATTTCCTATATTTTTCAACCGATTTCAACAAAACTTCACTTTTTTTTGGCAGGTAGTGTTTCTTATTGTCTTGCACACTTTTTTCTTTATTTTTACATTCAGAATGCTTTTTAAAATTCCATTTACAAGACAATTGTTTATAATAAAATTCTATTCAATCGGTAGACTCATAACGATTGAAAACAATGTTTTTGTTTGAGTTTGGGTTTGACCAATTCGTAAAAAAAAAATAAAATAAATAAAAAAATAAAAAAAACTAATTAAGACATGCGTGTCCGTCAACCTTAAACAATAATCTTTGTCAATTATATTTTTCAGTCTTTATGATGGTCGATACTTGATCTATCTCTTACTGTTACATCCCCGGGCAACGCCGGACTCTACTGCTAGTCATCAATAATGCAATATTTATTATTTACCATTTTATAAATAACTATAAAACAAGTTTTTTTATTCATAATTTTAAAAAAAATATAAATGAACTGCAGCATGAATTTAATACCCGAAAAATGCATTTTTTAAAATGTATAATTACAATTACTCGTCATTATTAATTAAATTTTTGTTTGACAGACATTTTTTGATAAATTTATAAAAAAAATAATTATTTTCATGTCCATTTCTTTATAAAATGATAATCATTGCATACTTGGTTTGAATTTTTAGGACTTGTATGTAAATTGAATTTTTTAGGACTTGTATGTAAATTTAAATTATTCTTGTAAATAAACAATCTAATAAATAAATAGTGTTTAATATTTTTGTTGTAAATTCTGAAGAACAAAGAAAATGTATAAATTCATTTTCATATGTTTGGGTTCTATTAAAATTCTAATCATCGCTTTTTTTAAAACAACAGACATTTTTTTGGGAGTGAGGGTAGCTAAAATAATAGCGGTGTCAAGCGAAAAATCGTCCTTTTAACACAACCTGGCCGTGCTTCTCGAAAAGGACCTAAGCGTGGCACGAGGCCGAAAGTATAGAGCACCCAGTGAGGATCGAACTTACTACTCAGTCGCAATTATTCTAGCGAGACAAACTGGCTAACCATTACATCACGTCGAGGTGCCCCGTTCTAAGCGTAGCTTAGATGTGGCACAAATTCGCTGGTCAACTTTAATGCCTCAAAAAACAAAACTGCTCTCTATTAATCGCCACAGAGATCCTTCCTTGCTCTCCATTAGAATGTCTGACGCTCAACTTCTCGAGAGCACCTCTCTGCGGCTGCTCGGTCTCACGTTGACTGCTCCCTGTGCCGCGCCAGGAAAATTTTCTCCTCGGAATCGATCCTTCAGATCTACAAATCAACCATTCGTCCTTGCATGGAGTATTGCTGCCATATATGGTCTGGAGCCTCTTCTGTTTGCCTCGGGGTTCTTGATAAGATCCAGAGGCGGATATGCAATATAATTGGCCCTGATCTGGCATCTCGTCTACAGTCGCTCTCTCACAGACGCGCCATCGCCTCTCTCTGTCTTTTTTACAAATACTTTCATGGTAATTGCTCCGAGGAGCTGCATTCGCTGGTTCCCAGACTTCATGAATTCAAGCGCCCTACGAGGCTGGCATTCCGCTCTCACGCTTTCACTGTCGAAATTATTAAATGTAGCCGTCTCTTCTACTCCAATAGCTTCATATCTCGCACCTCTCGCCTGTGGAAATCCCTTTCCCTATTCCAGTTTCCCTGAGAGCTATAATCTCCAACTATTCAAATGCAATGTCAATCGACATCTCCAAATGTCTTGATCTATCCACTATCTTTCTCCTCATCCTTTCCTCTATCCCTCCTATCTGATCTTGCTCCAAATCTTCTGTAACCCCTTGCGTCCTAGTGGCTTCCCGCCTTGCCTGGGGTGAAACGCTTAAAAAATGAAAAAGAAATTTATTGTCGGAACGAAGGCTGAATATTGCCTAACTTATCAATGTTAAATCTTTTTTGTTTGCACTCGCTTACTTCTTTACATAATCAGCTGCATTCATATTTATAAATGTTATTGAAATAATTGGTTAGAATTGTAAAGTTTAAATAGTTAACGATGTAACAAAGGAATTTCCGCAGCAATTTTATAGACGCTGAACTCACAAAGACCTTATTCAGTCATTGACTTAAGAATTATGATTCGTCAGAAATTTCAAATAGCAAAGCCATGAAATTTTCATGTGTATTGCGCGTCATTGTTATTACTATTTCACATCGTCAGTGATATACTTGACAGCATTAATATGCAAACCATAAGTTATATGAGATGGATGCTGGAGCATTTTTTTGATAGCTGTTACCAGTGCCGCTCTGTAGACTGGCGATGTTTTCTGTTATATAGCGCCTTTTAACTCTTCCTGTCGTTACCACATTATTACCGTCTTATCGACAAAAGTCATCTTATCAACACGTCAACGGCACCGACCCCGACAATTCCATAAACCCCGATGTGAACCGTTTCCCCCTTCCTCTTTGCAAAAATAAAATGAAAGAAAAAAAAAGAAGAAGAAGGAGACGAAGAAGCAGCCTTACTCTTCTTGGAATTTTACCCTCTCCCTTTTTTTCTATAATGGAACAGGCTTGTCGAAATAAAAGATATCGGGCGGATTATGTGGTCTATTTTATTTGCTTGATTTATTTTTCTTTTCCTTTTCTTTTTCTCTTTCATATCTCTCTTCTCTTTTCTTATTTGCTTGATTTATTTTTCTTTTCTTTTTCTCTTTCACATCTCTCTTCTTTTTTCTTATTTGCTTGATTTATTTTTCTTTTCTTTTTCTCCCTCTTTCACGTCTCTTCTTTTTTCTTATTGACTTGATTTCTTTTTCTTTTCTTTTTCTCTCTCTTTCACGTCTCTCTTCTTTTTTCTTATTTGCTTGATTTCTTTTTCTTTTCTTTTTCTCTTTCACATGTCTCTTCTTTTTTTTCTTATTTGCTTTTTTTTCTTATTTGCTTTCTTCTTTCTTCTCTCTTTCGTTCTGTCTTTACAAGAATTGCATTCGTTCAGTTTCAGATTTGTTAAACCTTTTTCGTTGCTCTTCTCAGATCATTTGAAATTTCTGAATTTGCCATTACATTTTCCGGTTTCAACCCAAAAGTCATTCTTCCTTTAGCTTTCCTTTTTTGTAAAAGGATTTATTTCACATCTTTCACATCTCTCTCCTTTTTTAGCCTTTTTTCCTTCTCTTTCACATCTCCCTTCTTTTTTAACCTTTTTTCCTTCTCTTTCATCTTCCTCTTCTTTTTTAGCCTTTTTTCTTCTTTTTTACATCTCTCTCCTTTTTAGCCTTTTCTCCTTCTCTTTCACATCTTTTTTTATGCTTTCTCTTTCACACCTGTCTTCTTGTTTTAGTCTTTTTTCTTCTCTTTCTCGTCCCTCTTCTCTTTTCCTTCTCTTTTCATGCTCTTTCCCCTTCGTTCTTCCATACTACTTTTTCTCGTACTCTATTTCATTCGTTTCTACTCTAGTTGAGGAATCGGAAAGCCGAGTTCGAATTCCACTCGAGTTCATTGCATCCAATTACGTGCTAATATCCTTGGAAAATATATGAATCCATCTCTTCTACCCCCTCTCGCAACTACGGATAAATAGCAGGACAAGCTGGGTCTTATAGCCTTGGCTAGCAAGCAGTCTAAGAGAAGTAAAAAATCTGAATTCAAATCTGTATGTAGCCCTGGTGAAGCACATACTATGCAGCTAAGGAAAGAATCGTTCGCATTGACTCGATGATCCTGACTAGAATCGATTCCTTTTTTTCTCTCTTTTTTCGTTCATTCTTTCTTTCTTAACTCTGTTCTTTCTAAATTCTTTTTAATCTAAGTTTTATGCTTTTCCCCGTTCTTTCTTCCATACTACATTTGCTTATTCTTTTTCTTCTAACTTATTTCATTCGTTCTTCTCTTCTTTCATTATTGTTTTATCTTTTTTTCTTCTTCTTCATTTTTTCAAGCTTTTCCGTTATTTTTATTACAGGTTTCTTATTCCTTTTTCTTCTTTTCTTTCATTTTCTTATTTTTCTTCGTTATTCTTCTTGTGCTAAAGTGGGATAGTCCATTGCTTGGGCTGTGATTGGCTGCTGGTACCTGAGTGGAGGTATTTCTATATAAATACCAGCTTGATTCATCAGTTAGTTTACAGGATTTGTATTAAGTTACAACCTGCTTTATTTTTGTCTGCCAGCTGGACGCTAGCTGGGAGCCTTACGCCGGTAAGTGCTGTTTATTGTATTATTATTCTACAGATCTTTCCTTCTTTTTCTTCTTTTTTGTTTTTCTTCTTTTTCATTTTTTTTCAAGAATGTCTACTTATTTCTTCTTTACTATATTTATCCTATGTTTTTTTCTTTTCTTTTTTTCGTTTTCTTTTCCTGTATTTTCTATTTATATCTCTTCTTTTATTCTTCTTTACTTTTTTTTATACTTTCCGTCCTTTCTTTCTTACCATATTTTTCTTACTCTTTATTCTACTTTTTAATGCTCCTTTTCTTTCATTCTTTCTGTCTTGTCACTCTTTTTTTCTTTCTTTTCTTCTTGATAACATTTTACTTTATTTTCCTTTTTTCCTTTCCTTTTTTACATTTCTTTCTTTTTTCCTTCTTTCTTTTAGTTAATTCTTTATTTCTTTTGCTTTCCTCATTCAGCTGAGATGTTCTGTGGTGTCTTTAGCTTTTCTTTCATTTTTCCAGTCTCTTTTCTTTTCCCCTATTTCTCAATATTTTATCTTTCATTCTTTCTTTCTGATTTTGTATTTCTAAGGATCAAAAGAAGTGGCAATCCAAACGTGCAAGGTTAGGTGATGACGGCGGCGTGTGTAGTAGATCTCGCCATCCAAGCAGTACCGATTCCTGCCAGATCTGCAAATGGACGTGAGGTCTGGGTTTCTTCTGATAGAAAATCACAGACTATCCACTAACCAATTCCGGATGGTTTTCAACGAGTGCTTCCTTACGCGGTCCCACCGGGAACAATGTTTGTCTGAATCCAACATCTGATTCTGCGGGAAAAAACTCGTAATAGACGATGCTCTTTCAATCGCATCAGGGCACGGATCCTCAGGGCCGTGCGTATTATTCCCGAAACCCCCAACGGCAAGTCTGATTGGTGATCCCGGACAGTGATTTGTGAGCCTCAGTATCTTATCAACAGTTGCCTTTTTTTATCTACATTTATATTCATTACAGCACAACTGAATGATGAAACTAAACTCAACTAAACTCAAGTGAATGATGAAAACACAACTAAACACAACTGAATGATGAAAGTAAACACAACTGAATGATGAAAACTAAAAACAACTAAACACAACTGAATGATGAAAACTAAACACAACTAAACACAACTGAATGATTAAAACTAAACACAACTAAACACAACTGAATGATGAAAACTAAACACAACTAAACACAACTGAATGGTGAAAACACAACTAAACACAACTGAATGATGAAAGTAAACACAACTGAATGATGAAACTAAACACAACCGAACACAACTGAATGATGAAAATACAACTAAACACAACTGAATGATGTAACTAAACACAGCTGAATGATGAAACTAAACACAATTGAATGATGAAAATACAACTAAACACATCTGAATGATGAAAACACAACTAAACACAACTGAATGATGAAAACACAACTAAACACAACTGAATGATGAAACTAAACACAATTGAATGGCAAAAATACAACTAAACACAGCTGAATGATGAAAACACAAATAAACACAACTGAATGATGAAACTAAACACAACTGAACACAACTGAATGATGAAAATACAACTAAACACAACTGAATGATGAAACTAAACACAACTGAATGATGAAAACTAAACACAACTAAACAAAACTGAATGATGAAAGACAACTAAACACAACTGAATAATGAAAACCCAAGTAAACACAACTGAATGATGAAACTAAACACAACTGAATGACGAAAACTAAACAAAACTAAACACAACTGAATGGTGAAAAAATTTCGCAGATTTCAACGTCTTACTGAGATTTCTTTTTACGTTCAAATCCGTGAATTTGTTTTCTTCATGCTAAGTCTTGAAAAACGTTACATGAAATTTGCTATTTTTTATCCATAATGTTGAATGTGTTAAAATTATTGAACTTTTTAACAAGAAAAATCTCGTGTTGATGTTAAAAATCGCCGCAAAACATAAAAGATCACATAATCCATTAGGACATGTCTCTAATTTGGATTTAGATACATCGTATTTATTTTCAAATTTTCTAGTTGAATATTTAACCTACAATGTATATTAGCCCTTATTGTACATAATTAGCTGACCATAAAATTTGTATATTATATGAATTCAACTACATGAAAATTGAAATATAATAAAGGTGAGGTACCGCATCATTGATTGGGAGGGCATTATAGATTCGGTGGGGGGCGTATCATATATTCAGTAGGTGGAAACAAGACATTTGCACTGGCCATGTATCACCTTGTTTCGATGGCGACAGGTTTTGGAGTGTTTAACTCTGTCTGATTTCGTTTTTCTCAGGACTTTGCTCTTTCCGGATTGGTTTAAATAGCCCGTTTTTCATCGTTTGTGGCCGTTCTTTTAAAAAATGGGCCGATTTTGTTGGGTTTAAGCAGAGAATCGCGGATGGCAATACGATTCATACAATTTTCCCTGTTAAATTGTGAGGCCCCAGGAGATAGTAGCGATTCACGTACTTTAGTGTTTTCCAATGCTTTACAACGCTTATATGCTGAGTATCTATGCCATGTTACGTGTCCTGAAACCTGGATTATTTTAAATCAGCGTTTCGATTTGGTCATACTCATAAACTGTAAGCTTACTGGGTGATCCTGATTCCAATATCAAAATTACAACATTTAAACAGTACTCTCTCAGCTATGACGCAATCTCTATAAATGGTACATATCATTTTTTTGTTGATAGTACGGCGTTTTTTTTTTTTCTTTTCGCGAATAAGAGAGATCAAATAAAGAATCACATAGATAAACTAGAATTATGATACACATATATCCATGAATCAATATTTAGGTTTTTGAAGTTAGGGATAGTTAATTTCTTGGAACTTCGAAAGGACGCGTCATCTCACCTTGAATTCGGAATACCATAAAAGATACTAATGGTGTTTAAGAACTCAAATGCACATGAAGCCTGATTAACCACTGAAAATCAAAGAACACAAAATACCAAAAATTCTTTAATCTGTTTCTCCAGATCTCATTCACTGAAGAAGGTTGATGAAACATCTTAGATTAAAAAATGTTTTCTATTTCGACACACATTTAAAGTGTACTTGATCCGAATTCATATACCTATATATATATATATATATATATATATATGAAGGTGTGTGTGTTTGTCTCTCTCTCTGTGTGTGTGTGTGTGTGTGTGTGTGTGTGCGTGCGTGCATGTGTGTTTGATTATATGTATTAGGATATGACATTGTTTCATCATTAAGGACTTTCATCGGAGAAATGAATTAATATTTTTTTTGTTATATGGAATTATTTTATATTTATATGTGTGTGTGTATATATATATATATATATATATATATATATATATATATATATATATATGTGTGTGTGTGTATATATATATATATATATATATATATATATATATATATATATATGAATGCGGACACCTGATTAGAAAAACGTCCACAGCCTTATTATGAGGTGGTCGCCTAAAATGTATGCTCAGTTGATCATAGGTTTGTGTATCTCTCTTTTTCTGTATATATATATATATATATATATATATATATATATATATATATATATATACACTTAAAATGTATATTGAAATAATATATAATAAGTTAGACATTTTAGGGAATGTCCTCTTAGTCGAGCTTATTACTTTTTAGCACCCTCGCGTTTGATCTCTCAAACACACACAACTATATATATATTTATATATGTGTGTGTGTGCATGTGTGTGCGTGTGTGTGTGTGTGTGCATGCGTGTGTGTGTACGTGTGTGTTTCTTTATATGTGGAGTTTGCTGTTATGCATATATGTACGCACACCCAGACATATCTGATGAAGCATGCTATAAATAATTGTATGCACGTACGCACACACACACAAACACACATACACACACACACACACACACACACACACATATATATATATATATATATATATATATATATATATATATATATATATATATAACACATTCAACGCTTTATCAATTATCCTTCATCTTCCTCCTGTGCACCTGTCGCCATATTTTGTAGTCTTTAAGATTCAGTAAGCACTCAAAAACATTAACCCTTGTCCCAAAGCCAGAACTCGACCCCATAGATAAACAGTGGAAATCAAGAAACCCACCCACAAAACGTTGGGTTACAGGCATTAGAAAAATAATGTCGGGCGAGACAAAACATAAAGAATATATAAAAACGGAAATTTACTACGACTTTGAACCCTTTCCTGTCTTATTTCCAATGAGCCTTGAGAAACCTGAAGGTACACACACACACACATATATATATATATATATATATATATATATATATATATATAGATGATTATGTGTGTGTTTATTGTATATTTAGGCAGCAATCCTTCATTTATATATGTTTCATTTAATGCAACAGACAAGGAAAATATTTTTATTAAGTTTCTCTAGTGTTCTTAATTTTTTGCTTTCGTGAAAATGAAGAATGTGTAGAATTCTTAGCAGTAATTATTCGGCGAGTACAGTCGACATTTTCAAGCCGTTTGTAGTTATTATATTTTTGTGGTTGTATCCAGAGATGAATAGTTGTATAGAACTATTAATAGCAATTTCATGTCATGTTGAGATGCATTCAAAATCGTCTAATAGGCTGCGTCTCGTTTCAAAGAAATTAATGTAGAGTTTATGTCTACACTGATTTCTAAACTGTTCTTCTGTTGTCTTTAAACCTCACTTACGAGCAGGATCTCGAATATGACGACTGTTTCTATACTCTCTTATTCATTATAAAATCAATAATTTATAGATAATAGAAAAAAAATGAATTAAAAAATTATAAGA